CGGGCCGCGGTTAAAATTTGTCAAGCGTCGACCGGTCCGCAGTGATAAAAAGGTTGGGGACCACTGCACTATGGGAGAGAGGAGACATAAAGTTAGTGATGGGTAGTGGTGGCATATAGATGGATGGAGAGAGAGAAGAGGGTAGGGGAGGAGAGGAGAGGAGAGGAGCTCAGAGCATCATGGGAGGACCCCCACCCTAGGTCTGTGACTAAGGCATGGTAATATGACAGGAAAATATTAATACCAAGGACAGCTTCTACTTATAGGCACTAACTGTCAAAGACACATACACAGTGTCCTCACAATATGAGTCACCACCAAAGCAGATTTACTTCGAAAAAGTACGATGGTTGTGCCAACGCTTCAGCACTGCCTCTAGAAGACTAAGATAGTTTTCTAGTCCACGGAGAAAGAAACAGAAGTGACAGGAAGAAGGAGGACATGTGCCAAGGATCATTTGTCTTTTTATTTTGTTTAAAATAATTTCAAGCAGAATAAAGTATGTGGAATTTAACAGTTTTATTTTACTGTAGCTCACAAGTTTAAATGAAGTTTAAACATGAAAATCACCTAAAAATTATATATGGTCAAATGGCATTGGCATTGGATTTGGTGACATTAGAAGTGTCTTTGTCACACCTCACTTTATTCAGACACCACCCCCATCATGGCTGTGGCCAGAGCCACAGCTCTGCTCTCACTGGTGTTTTTGAGTTTCCTCTCCAGTCCTCTGCACCTCATCAGGGATGTCCAGTAACGAGCAGGACATCCCAGAAGACGTCAGACTCTCAGAACAGCAATTAAACAGTGGTACTGTGCAAGGGGAAATTAGGGAACCTTATTGACACATCTGATGTACAAACAGGTCTGGGACTGGGAGTCCAGCCGTGTACACAGAGCCGACTCATAGCTGTGCCGAAGTATGTCCTCATGCACTGACCTTTGGACAGTGAGTGTGCTAGTGGGCTGAATAATAACCTGCAGACAAAACTACAGACCTCTGCTTGGTTTCTATTCAGATCTTTTGTGTATTTTCTATTAGAAATCACTACACACATTTCAGTTTGCCATATTATTTAGATATTGTGCATGAATTTCTATTGTTGTTTTATCCGTGGACAGATTTTTACAAATGGTTGAAGCACAAATCTCTCATTCTTGCTGAACGACATTTTCAGAACTTTTTATGACCAAAAACATAACTCTAGTTATTTGCCATGTTACCATGTAGTGTCTGAATGATCATCTAAATCATATTCAATCAGTTGTTTTACCTGCAGATACATTTTTCCTCTCTTTGTTTGTTCACTGTCATTAAACTGAAGTCTTCATATGATGCTGTTTTGCTGTGACACTGTAACTGACAACAAATCTGCCTTGTAACCAGTTATCACAGTGTCAGGTGTTATATTTGATATTTTTGTTATCTGGAAAAAGACGAAGGGATGTAAAGATGATGAGGATGAAGACTTGTTCAACTTTAATCTTTAACAGAGATGGAGGCTGAGAGTGAGGAAGATGATGATGATGAAGATGATGATGGTAAAAAGGTCAGTGGTGAGGGTCACTGCTGTTGCTATTTGTTAATATTTACAAGTGTTTATTTTTGTTGTTTTGTTGTCTCCTCTCCATGCCAGTGTCAGTGTTGCCGGTGGTGGTTAACTGTTGCTGCTTTTTGCTGCCATGTGCTTTATTTTTGTTGTTGTCACTGCAATGTGTTGCTGTTCAGTTCACTTGCACCCATTGTTGTTTGTTGTAGTTTAGTCTTTGTTTACTGGCTGTTTTGTTCACAATAGGCCTCAGCTTTGGCAGATAACACATGATGGCTTAAACTGAGCTTTCATTGGGTTTGTCCTCACAAACAGATCAGCTGATGTGGGACAAATTTGGGTGTTGGTGCAAAAGAGTTTGTGTATTTTTGTTCCAAAGTGTGCGTGGATGTCTTGTTGGAAATGACTTACTGTGTACTCCTGTTGTTATATTGGTATTACTTTTTACTGTTTCTGTTTGTAGCATCACATGTCGATGCTAAGTTCTGAAAACTCATGACAGCAGTGTGTTGACAAATATGTTCTCCTGAACCTGTTGTGTTCAATTTACACCAGCGGTTCCCTTTTTCCAAGTGCTTGTTATTGGAAATGTTACGTCCATGAGACCATTAAAACCATCACTGTGATCTTATCAGGGGAGTCTTGACACTTTATGCTGGTTGTTGTTCCCTTTAGGGCTCAGCAGGGCGGGAGGCGGTGGCTACGGAGGAAATGTCAACTCTGGTAAACTATGTCCAACCAACCAAGTTCAACTCCTTCGAAGCCTCTAAGAGTAAGAACAACAGATCAGAACACTACATCTCAACAAACTGATACACACCTTGTTGCTGAATTGTTTACTTTCTTTAGAAAACAGTTCTTGTTGCAGCACTGCCTCAGCTCTGTGTGTACAAGGATTAATATTTCACATCTGGAGGAAAACCTGTCAGAGCAGCAGTTTGTCACTGAGCCCATCAGTGTTTCTGAAAAATTACAAGATTTTGAGTTTTAAAAAGTCATATGATAATTTTCTATGCTACCAAACAAAATGTAAAATGAGCTGAAAGGAAGAAATGTATTAAAGTTGGTATCAACAGAAGGTGCATGAATCATGTTGCTACCGAAACAATTACTCAGAAGTGTGCATGTGCATGCTTGTGTGTGTGTGTGTGTGTAGAGGCAGCCCGCTGTTACCACATGTCATCTTTTGTGGAGACCAAAGCTTTGGAGCATCTCACAAAGTCTCCAGTGGAGTTTGTGGAGTATCCTTGGCAACAGTTACCACAGTTACAGCATACCATGGCAACTGCTTTTATATTTTGTGTTATCCCTCTTTTGATGTTTTTTTTGTCTAAGACTCTTAAAGTCTGTTTCAGCGCTAAGTGCCATTTAACTAACAGTGGTACAGTATAAAGTTTCTATACCAGTGTGCTCCAGGTATAATACATTTTGCTTGAATATACAGATGGGTGATGTAAAGAGTCTCAGTGAGGTGCTGGGCCTCCACGTGCCACCAGAACAGCTCCACCTTGGCACTAACTCTCCAAGTCTCTGAACTGTCCCTGAGGGATGAACACCGTTCTTCCAACAGATGTTCCCTCATGTAGTGTTTTGATGATGGTGGTGGAGATGCTGTCTAACACGTCGCTCCAACATTTCCCATAGCTGTTCAACTGGTGACTGTGAAGGCCACAGCATGTGATTCACACCATGTTCATCATCATCAAACCATTCTATGACCCCTCGTGTCCTGTGGACGGGGGCGCTGTCATCCTGAAGAAGACTACTCAATTATTCAGGTTTTAGTTAATAATTTGTCTCCAGTTTATATATTATGATGCATTAAGTTTAAAAACATGTTTTTGACATATATTAGATAAAGTTCTGTACATCAGTGGTATGAACAGTGACTTTCTTGAGGCTTTGTACACGTGCAACAAGAAGAGGTCTAGCTGCTTTTTTGATCTTTGAAACACCGCTGTCTGGTGATCCCACATACTGTAGGATGTGAAAATGTTTGGCATAAAATGATCTAAGTCTGTAACTGTCCTTAACCTGACATTAACCAGATATAATAAATACCAGTTGAGTCGTATCTATCCGAAAGGAACACGAGTGGACTCATCAAACTTTATGCCTCAGCTTTTCTGGAACGCTGGATGTCAGCTGGTGGCTCTCAACTACCAAACAATTGGTAAAACACTTTTAATTTACTATTTATTTTCATTTATACTCAAAATGAATTTGCATGTGAAAGTCTTGGCTTTTGATTTTTCAGTAGTTGTCCATACAGAAATACAAGGTTGTCGTGGCTACTTTATTGGGACTAATTATTACCAGTGCTTCTAAATATTACACCTTACTTGCTGAAAAATTGCATTTTACAATCTAACATAGTGAATGGCTATAAATATTCTACAGTAGCCATGGGCCCCAGGACACCCTCTGTCCTTAGACCCTCGAATCAGATGAACAAACCCTTAAACAGGGGAGCAGCTGTAGCAGCAGGAACGCAGTAACTCTAACCCAGCCCTATCTTTAAGTCATTATATTCCTAAACCTACCACTGGCTTCCTTTCCCAGATCTTTCCATGCAGCTGAACCTCTTTATGTTTGAATACAACGGTCGGTGTGGCTATAGGCTGAAGCCTGAGTTCATGAGACGGCCAGACAAACTGTTTGACCCCTTCACAGAAAACACAGTGGACGGCATCATAGCCAACACCCTCTCTGTGAAGGTACAAGCTGAAAACTTTACTTAAAGTCCCTGCATGTGGAATTTTTAGGTAGTTAGGGACTGTATGAAGGTCATAATGTGGCAGGAGTGGTGTGGGGCCAAAGAGGAAGAGGGTTATGTGTTTGTTTGTTTGTTTTTTTGCTGAAGTGAGTGTAATCTTTTTTTTTTTTTTTTACAGAGAGAGAACAGAGCAAAATCTTTTCTCATCTTAGATTTGCATTTCATTTGAGCCTTGCCTACGGTCTTCAGTCCTTCAGCGTACCATAAAGTTGTTATAGTGGAATAAGTATTGGTTTGTGGACAGTCCTAGTGAAAACTAATGTAGCATCATGCATGACTTCACCACAGTGTCTCTTTTATTTCACCACTGAGTCAGCAGAGTCAGAAGTGTTCAAATCGTACACGTGGTGGCTTTAAGGCAGTACATTTTGAGCCTTTGTATTTTCCTGCTGTCCTCTAGGTAACGCTGCATAGTTTGAACAGTATGTAATGTTCACTGTTGCAGACCATGTGTTTCTTCACTGAGACATGTTTCTTTCTGTGTGTCTTAGGTGATTTCTGGTCAATTCCTGACTGAAAGGAGGGTGGGTGTGTATGTGGAGGTGGAGATGTTTGGACTTCCTGCAGACACCAGGAGGAAAGCGCTGAAGACCAAAACCTCTCAGAACAACAACGCCATCAACCCAGTGTGGGACGAAGAGTCCATTGTTTTCAAAAAGGTGAAATAGAACAGAGAAACAGGAGGTTGCAAATGAGTCAAATCAATCATACTGATGTGTCTAATCGGACTTCTACTCCCTCTGAAAGGTGATCCTTCCTACTCTGGCCTCTCTGAGAATCGCTGCTTTTGAGGAAGGAGGGAAGTTTATTGGTCACCGGATTATTCCGGTGTCTGCCATTAGACCAGGTATTTGGTTGACTTGATCTCTTATTTCTCTCTCATCTCTTATTTAGTAAGCTTTAAAATGATTATCTCTTAGCTCTTAGTTTTTGTTTTTGAGCTAACTGCTTGCTGCTGCGGTGTTTATTACACTGCACCTCCCAAAGATGCAGTCAGTGTGGTGCTGTCAGTAAACTTTGTCCTTGTCTGGCTGGTGTTTGTTCTGAACTCAGCTGCATCTCTCTCTCACTCTCTGTCTGCCAGTTTTATTGCCAGATTTATACATCACTGTTCACCCTAAATAATCCAAACAAAGGTCGCTGTACGTCAGACTCTGTATGTTGCTAAATGTTTCCTGTAGGCTATCGCTACATCAGCTTGAGGAATGAGAAAAATCAGCCTCTGATTCTACCAACTGTGTTCGTCTACATTGAAGTCAAAGACTACGTCCCTGACACTTTTGCAGGTACAAACATCTGTCAAATCAAACCTTCCCCTCAACAAACAATTGTCTGTCTTTGACATATCAGAAACAAGTTCATGATTTTTTAAATTTAAAATAAAAGAAAGAGATGATTTGCTGCAGATGTTCATACAAGCTGGTACTTATGTCACCTCTGTGTTCTCTGATTTAAAACACACTATGGCCTTCTCTCTAATCTAATTGTTTAGTGTTATGGAATGTAATGAACATGTTTAAAGACCTTCACATCTTGAAAAGCACTGAGTTATGTCTCAGAAGGTTGTAAAAGGTCTTAAAGTAGGGAAGAGGATAATTAAGGAGATAAGTGGGAATGTTGTGACAGTTTATATATACAGCTGGGAAGTTCTGACAGAAATGGGACATAATAAGAAATTATTCTAGGCCATGCTGTTGCAGCGTGTTCTTTATGAAGAATGATCGGAGTCAAATATCAATTTTAAACATTTATTATCACAATTGAATAGACTATCGAATAAAGCAATTTACAGTACAGAGCTCTGGGTTCCATCTCTATCTGAAGCCCTAACCTCAACAGCAAAACCGTTCAATTCGTCTTCAGGACGAGAAGGAACGCCTACCCTCCTGGAAACCCAGTTACTTATACAATTTGAAATGTGCAATTGTAGGCTGGTCTGGTCCTCTCGTGTTGCTCCATTGGTCCATTGGTCCATCCATCCAGGTCCCTCCTGCTTCAATGAATAAAGACAGTTTCCTACAGAGGGAGGAAGATCTGACACTGCCTGTGTGTGTATATGAAATTAGCTATTTTACCAGGCAGCTGTTTCTTCTAGGCCAAAATCTGATTATAACCTTGGTATGAATCTTAGCATCTTATCAAACCCTAACTCCCCTGACTTCACAGCTCAGAGGGAATAATGAGCTCTGTGGAGAAAAGGCAACAAACCTAAAGGAATACTGTGGGATGATGAGACCTTGGAGAGCTACTCAGTGCATCACACTTATCTCATGGGCCTGTAATATCACACAGAGTTTTCAATATGCATACAGTAACTTATTTTCTCATCATGTTAGTGAACATATAATGTGGTGAATAGTAACTTCATAAACATATCTGTGACATGTAAGTATGTGAACTAATATAATCTTGACTATTCCTTTTCTAATATGATAGAATAGTTATACACAAAGTGAACAAACAAGTTAACTAATCGACAAACATAGTGTCAATCTTCTACTAACTAAGTTCTTAATTCAGTCTAATATTAAAACTAATCCTAATGTGTTACTTTGTTAACAATTGTACTCAACACTGTCTACTGGTTTGCAACATGTTTTCATACTTCATTACGATCACATATACAATATTCTGTTGCCTTCTGTGTGGTATTGAAATGGTCTAAAATCTTAAATTTAACTTTGTATACAATACTACGGCTGCTTCTTAGTCTTTTATGTTTGGTTTGTATGTTTGTATTTCTGTTTTTCAGTCACTTTCATCTGCAACAACCTCTAAAATGTATTGCACATGTGTCTACGCTGTTTGTCTATAAAGTGAGTGAAGTTTATATGAGTTCCTTCATATTTCTCCCCCAGATGTAATAGAGGCTCTGTCCAACCCTATTCGATATGTCAACCTCCTGGAGCAGAGGTCTAAGCAGCTGGCGGCTCTGACTCTGGAGGACGGGGAGGAGGACACACAGACTGAGGTTAGTCCTGTTTCTAGTTTTTTCCTTTTTGGCTGGAAAGCAGAATTTTTGGCTGTAGCTGGTGTCTTGACTCAGGATGAAGCCGACTGCTGTGCAGAGCGAAAGAACGATCTCAAATCAGCTCCACTGGAGAACGGACTCAGCCCCACATCCGGCCCCACAGGCCACACCCCCATCGCTGTGACGCCCAAAGCTTCTGCGGCCAATCATCAAGCAGCTACGACAGGTAGCCTTTACCTACAAACAAGGACACATACATGCATTCAAAGAATACAAGAGAACTTAAATAGATAGTAGTACTAGAAATACTAAATGTATTTTGGTTAATGTTGACCTCATCTCCTCTGAATTTTAGATGCCACCAAAACAGCAGCAAAGACTGAAGATCTGGTTTTAAGTGTTTTAATAGGTCAGTGTTTACATATTGATCTGTAATAGTTCTTCTATGCAATCAAGCTAATTCAAATGTGTTAGTGGACTGGGTAAACCATGAAGCCTGATACCATAATATAGCATTCAAAAGTACAGATAACTAAAATACAGCTATGTGGATTCAGTTATCAAAATCCAGGTACTGCGTTCTTTTTGTAGCAGGAGATGTTGAAACGGCTTATTTTAAAGAACTTTTCAGTGGCGACTGATTAAATGCCTATTAAAGTAACAGAAAACACCTGACAGTGATGTCAGAATTTTAATTAATTGGGGGTCTGTTAATACACTTTCTACTGTCTGATCCCTTGTGGAGCCAGATGTCCCAGTGTGCACGATGGAAAGTCTGCAGCAGTCAAAGGTTTACCAGAAGGAACAGAGACGTCAGTTTAAAGAGCTGAAGGAGTTAATGAGGAGACACCAAAAGAAAACCTCAGAGCTCCTCCGAGAGTTCAACAACAAGTACAAGAAGATGTCCAGGCAGTGCAGCAAGAGCAGGTGCACACACATTATGTGGCATTGTCTTAACTAGTAACTACTGCCTGTTACTGTTCAGTATTTTGTGAGATACACTTGTCATTCTAAAAAAGTCAAAAACTGTAATGCATCATGCATGCCTGGATATTTATTTTTCTGTGTGTGTTCATCAGGGCTTCATCTACAGACAGTGAGAAGGACGAGCGCCTGCAGCAGCTGAGAGACGAGCAGCAGCAGCAGCTTCTGGCTCTGAGGCAGGAACAGTACTACAGTCAGAAATATCTACAGAGAGAGCACATAAAAATGGTAAAATCTAATAAAACCATCCCGACCTTGACCCTGGCTGATGTCTCTGTTGGTTATCTATATTTGGATGAATGGCTAATTTAAGGCTGCCTTTCTCTTTGGTGTGGGATGTTCAAAATGAGACAAAGTGCTGATGAGCACAAGAGAACATAACATTATAATTACAAAAACAAGACTTCAGTAAAAAGCTTGGATTATGTACTCTAAAATTAAGTATGTTTTACATTTTGGATTTAAGGTCCGTTTCCATTGCGGTTCATTTTAACCTCCACATTTAAACTCTGTTAAATTGACCCAGTGCCTTTTGAACACAAGTGTAAAATGTGACTGCTGTGACTCCAGCTGACAGAGCGACTGAGCAGCCTGGCTGAGGAGAGCCATAACGTCCAGATGAAGAAACTCAAAGACATCTGTGACAAGTAAGATAAAAATAAACATGTGACTTATGTGCCAAGATTTTGCCTCCCAAGTTGGAAACCACTGGACTAAACTGGATAGCTGCAAATAAAGTAGTTACAACAGCTGTGATAGTGACAAATATACTAATGTCATAAACATTTTATCAGTCACTGAGGACGTGTTAATACAGAATGAGCCGTTTTAGTTTTCATACACATTGTTTCTAGTATTCCTGTACTTTTCATGAAGGATTTTTTTACTTGTAATAGATTATTTTTACATCTTCCTTCATCAAATACCACCAGCTGTGACACAGTCAGTCTTTAGCAACAACACAAAACATGTATTTGTGGACACATTTGACCTTCAGATTCATGACTATAGGGTTTAATTCTGGTTCATGCTAAGGTACCCCTTATAATGATACTTTAGAATATCCCATCTCACTGTGAGCCAAAGCTTTTATATAGTGCGGTTCCAACAACTTTGAATGTTTGGAAAATGTAATGACAGGTTGAACATATTTTCAAACACTCCCCCATCATATGCTCTAATGCTTTCCTGCTGCTTGTAGGGAGAAAAAAGAGCTGAAGAGACAGATGGATCGGAGGAGAACAGAGAAGATCAACCAAGCGAAGACCAAAGAGAAACATCTGGCTGAGGAGTACGAACCATAAACACAGACACACCAGTATTTATCTGCTCCACTCACCTTAGATACCTGCTGTAGCCCCTTCATCCACTACATGCACTGATTCATCCAGCTAGTTTCCTCAGCTTTGGCTCAAACTGAACCGGCTCATCTGTCTGTGCATTCCCAGGGAGAAGATTGAGATCAACAAATCCTATGTCAATGAAGTCGTCCACAACATAAAACGGGTGAGAAGAGGAGAAGAATCTGGGTTTAAAGGAATTTGAAATGGGCTTTTCTGTAGACTGAATGGTTTATATGGAAGCAACACAACCTGTGTGTCTAGCTGTTGCCCTGTCTTTCATCAGTCATAAAACAAATAATCACACTCCTTGAATGTCTGTTTTTCTGTCTTGAGCTTGAGGAGACTCAGGCAAAGCGCCATGATCAGCTGGTAGAGCAGCACAATGAGCTCCTACAGGAGATACAAGAACAGAAACCAAAGGTAAAATGGTAATTGTGTTTCTAATGTGTCACCATTGCCTGTTTCTATTTCTTATCCCTTCACATACTTCATGCTTTGATGTACTACACATCAACTAATGTATTGTACACCATGCTTCAGACTGCTGCTACTGTCTGTGGCTCCACACCCACACAGTTTGGGATCAGTACTAACATCAGTATGAATGATGTAACATGCCCCTCTGGCGGCCATATTGAAGCTGTTCAACTGTAATGGCTGACAACAGCTGGTTGTATTGATGAATGTACAGTCCATCACTCTCAACAGCAGGAAACAAACAGGGCAACTCTGTTTTTGGACTGGGAACTGAGTCATCACCAATATAGTCCACTGATTCCATGTTTACATAGTTTTGTTAGCAGCAGAAGCTAATCATGCTATCTGCTAAGGCAGTCAGTGCTAAAAGCACTGGTGTGAATCTCACATCTTGTCTGTGTCCAGCTGCAGGGGGTTGTGGAGGCAGAGTTTCAGGAAAAGTTCCAGCGTTTACCCGGAGAGATTCGAGACTTCCTGCAGGACAGGAAGACAGATGTCAGAGGTCACAGCAAGTCCCGACCATCAACCCCTCATGAAATTCTGTCAGAGGAAGACTGAAGAGAAAAATGTGTAGAACAGAGTGAGAAAATGAAGAAGCAGAATCAATGAATCAGTGGAAGCAGAGTGGAATAAATCAAGTACAAAGGATCAAAATACAAGGAAGTAATAATGAAGCTAAGTCAAAAAAGAGATGATCATTGATACAGTAACAGGGCAATGGGGGAGTAATTAAGACAAGATATCAAGATTACAAAGACTGTTACTTTGCTTTTTAATCGAAGAATGCTTTAATGATTTATTTTTAATTTCTATTCAAGCATGCTTCTTTGCTGTATTTCAGCATTTAATCAGACCCCATTTAGTCTTGACTTGTCTTATTTTCTGTCATCTGTTACTTTGACAGACAACTCAAACCCAACAGTTTGCACTGCATGACAAACTCTTTCTATCTGCCTGTCTTCTACCTATCAGTTTATTTCTGTTCATACATTTGAAGCTCAGTGAACATACAAACTGTCCCTATTTTATAAGTACATGGAGAGATGTTGTATATTGTCTACACATTTTTGAACATTTGATCTTCTTTTTAGTCAGTAAGCTGATGTGGTTGTCATGACAGCTCGGCCTGCAGTAGTCAGAATACTAGCACACTAACATCACAGCTGCATTTACTCTATTAACACTTATCACTGTTAGCAATACTCTCTTTTTCATTGTTACACACATTCCCACCTGGAAGGTGCCCAGTACGTCCAGTCTGAGCTGTAGGCCTGTGAGGATCGAAATACGTCCCCACCAAAACACTGAGGTCACACAAACCACATTTCGAGTGCTACTTAGTTTTGAACTCAGCATTTGAAAGTGCTCAGGCACAGATTTGTAAGCACAGAGTGAGGGGAGACTTGCATGATTTATTTGTTAATATAGTTATCACCCTGATAGATATTTATTGTTATTTTCATGATGATTAAGTAACAACAACATAATTTATAAATGGTTTCAGAGTGAAAAAGTTTTGTTTTGTTTTGCTTTGTGAAAATGTAAAATGGGTGGAGCTTGTCACTCTGTGATCTTACAGAAAATTATCTGTGGGAACATTTTCCATGTTTCATTTTTCTTCTGGACTTACACAACTAAGGCTTAAGCTGCATTCAACAACTTTTTTTGCAGGGAACCTTTTCTTTCAGTTTAAACCACTCTTGACTGAGTCAAACAGTCTTGGTCATGGTCTGAACCTGACCTCGTAAACATAGCATTCACTGCAGTTTTCATGGCAATATGCTAACTCTTCATTTTAATGTTAAAGTACCTCACTGTTCATAAATCCATTAAAACCATGTGGATAAGGATCTGCAACAAAATGCCTTGTTGAATGCACCCCTGCTTTAGTGATTCAACTGAGCATGCTTTATTGTCTTGGATTTCGCATCATTAAATTATTGCTTTGTTTTACTGACTGCCATTTTAAGACAAATTGAAAACCAATTAAAATGTTTGATCTAAACCTTAGGTGTTATCTGTTATATTTGTAATAATATAGTCCAAGGACTGAGCTGTGTTAACTTTTCAGAGCTCACTGTGCTGTAGGAAGCTACACTGATGAGCTGTAAGAAAGGAGGCTTGGCGTTTGCACAGACATTCAGTATACAGGGTAAACACTGTTGTCAACCACAACATCACAGACCCACTGCATTAGTGTTTCTGTGCTGTGATCTTGTGTATGAGCAGGACAATGTGGGTTTTAACAGAGAGGCAGTGCTCTGTAGTTGTCATGGGGAGGAAGGTGGAGGAGGCTGTTCAAGCTGAGAGACAGCCTGTCATGTTTTCTCACTGCCATGAAACTGGATTCGTTGTATGGACTTTCTGCCTGTAGATATGCTGGTACTGAAATTTAGTCAACTACACAAGTTACTAAAGGTAGCATACATGTTGTATGAATGTTTTTATTGAGGTCTTATTGTCTTATTATGTTGTGTTTGTATCTTTTAACTTCCACTGTGTTTCTAGTGTACTGTTTTATTGTTGTTATTAGGTCATTGTGTAGTCTATTTTCACATCTGCAAATGTATTGAAACCCTCAGTGGCTCATAAATTAGTCAAGATCCACAGGTCTGCAAATACACCAAACATTTGAAATTTTTGAAATTAAAACTGCACTAACTAACCATTTTCATAATAATAATGGCTCTTACATACAGTACAATGTAAAAGGTGTTGTTGCTATTGTTCCTCTGTGGTGGATGGATGTGTAAATAGGAAGCTTAAGGTAAAAACAAAGCCAGATGTGCTTTCAGCTTGACTCTGCTCCCCTCTGGTGGCTGTAAAACAGAACAGTATTCCTGTAAATTTATAATATTCTGCAGCTCTTTTCCTTGGTCAGTATTTACAGTTTCATTTTAAAAATGAAAATAAATAAAAGAAACAGAAGGTACTACCTCAAACCATTTAATTTGTGGCAAATGAAATACACATTTCCAAAGAAACTGTTATGTCACTGTCTGCATTTTTATACTCATTAATTTAATTCACCAGCTTGATCCTCAGGGTTCCCACTGCCCATAATCTTCCCCAGGTTCCCCTCATTCCCATGCAGTCTCCACATTTTACTTTTGTAATTCGAGTGAATTGACCATATAAATTAGAACTTTTTATTTTTTTATTGCACTGGCTTTTCCTGTTTCCTCCAGCAGATGGCGGCAATGAGCCGCAAGTGACCTTTCTCTCGCCGTAGAAGAAGAGCGGCAGGCTCTCCGCATCAGCACCAGTACAGACATCTCCTCACCTCCTCTCTGTCCACTGCGGAACACCGGCCCGTTTTCCTGCCATCCCTCCGCCAGCAGCAGACCCAGCTCGCCATGGACAACTCCGGCAAAGAGAAGGAGGCCATGCAGCTGATGGCTGAAGCCGACAAAAAGGTCAAAGCATCAGGATCCTTTCTGGGAGGGATGTTCGGGTAAAGGATGCTCTCATTCTTTTCTCGGTCTCTGTTTACCTATCTCCCATTTTGCTGTGGGGGAGGGATTCCTGCACGCAGGGCCCATCAAAGTGTTTCTGCTTTTCTTGACGCTGTGTTGTCCCCAAAATATCCCCACAGCGTGTCTGTGAAGCCCGGTCATAAGAGGCCCGATCAAATGTTGCATTGATCAGTTTTGTATTTTGTCACGATATTCCTGTGATCTGTTCTAAACATCGTTATATACGCTGGTAACTTTCACTGACATTGTGTCCTTCTGAAAGATTTATCCAAAGCGTATCATAGCGCACGTTTCTGCAGCTGTATCAGCCATGTTGTGTGGCGCAAGAGAAAAGTGGCCTAAACGTGGCACATCGGGATGTGAGCGGGCCGAGGCTGCAGGGAGGCGGCTACAGCGCAGTCAGGGCGGCGTGTGAGGAAATCGGTGGCGACGGGTGATGCGGGGGCTGCTGTTTTTGTGTGTATGTGCGTGCACGGTGGCCTTCGTGTGTGGGAGGGGCGGCTATATGTTCACAAGTAAAATGGAAACACTGGAATATGAAGTCACCGGATGGATGGATGGATGGATGGATAGATGGATGGATGGATGGATGGGTGGATAGATAGATGGATAGATGGATGGATAGATAGATAGATAGATAGATAGATAGGTAGGACTAATTGAGTTGCAGGTGCAGTGTACAGTACCTACTTTATCATTAGGTTGAGGAGGCTATTTTCCCCATGGTCATACATTTATGTCTTGAATGTTGCATGTAGAGAGATTAAAGGTAAATGTAATGAAGAGGGTGTTTAAAAACATGCACACAAGAGAAATATAACAAAAAGAAGCATTAGTATCACAGAATTGCACTGAAGATTCATGATTCAATAAAATAAGTGTTACTTGCAGCCCTAATTCATCTTGCTTACTGTTTTACTTACTTGGAAGCACTGATTTCAAACACATATAGAAATACTTTCAAGAAAATGTTAATTAGACCATAATATCTAGAGGCAGTGTAAGTTGTCAGATTGGAATTCGTTAAAGTTTTTAAATTCAGATCTAGTTGCTGCTTAATGTTCCCCTCTTATGTGAAGATTTACCTCATATGAGAGTAAAATATTTCAGTTTAGAGAGTTTCAGCTGCGGGGTGTCCGTGTCTTCAGCGGTCCTCCACCATGATGTCCTCCAGCTCCTTAACCCTGGAGAACAGTTTGCAACAACAAAGCGAATGCTAAGAAAAGTGCTGTACAGTATTATAATAATATGGCTAATTTGCTTTGCCTTTGCCTGTGTGTGTGTTATAGGGGCAACCATAAAGTGGAGGATGCCTGTGAAATGTATGCCAGGGCAGCCAACATGTTTAAGATGGCAAAGAACTGGAGTGGTAGGTGACACATCACATTCACTGTGAACACTAAACACACATCTAAATCCCACATAAACACCTACACACAGACACGCACGTGCAATAATTGATTCAACAGCCTGCGGAGAACAGTGTAAATTATACCTGTCCAATAAGGCTTTGCACATAAACAGAGTGCATTTAATGTATGACTATTTTGCACAGTATGGACAACTAAGTGAGACATTCATGAATGCAGACACCGGCGTATACAGTGCTCCAGCTGGGACAGATGTGCCAATAATAGCTCATGTTGAGCCGAATGTAGCTGTTGTGTGGATGTGTGTTTGATGCTGCTGCTGCTGAATGTGAATGTTGACAGACATAAGCAGTGAGTGTAAAAAATAAAAAACGAGTAATGCATGTAGTGCAAACAGAACTTTACATGTACATCATTCACTGAAGCTTGTCCCTTTCAAACTCTGTCTAGCTGCGGGAAATGCATTCTGTCAGGCCGCTCGGCTCCACATGCAGCTTCAGAACAAACTGGACTCTGCCACCAGCTTTGTCGACGCCGGCAACGCCTACAAAAAGGCCGACCCACAAGGTGAGTGAGCACTGACATCTCAGGAACGCACACAATACAAACGGTTGATTCAGTGTCTGATTGAGTGCAGCTTGGTCATATTGGTAATACACACCGTGTGGACCTCAGAAAGGAAAAACATTCAAGCATTAATGATTGGTTAAATTCATGTAAACAGGTTCATACACACATAGTTGGGACTCGGATGTCATAACTTATCAGGCCACTATGGACGGAGATGAGATCCAGTCCTGGCAAGCTGCTGGCGACAGACAGGAGATTATAAAATCATAGGTTGTGAGTGTTGTTTCTGAAGGATTCATCTGCCTACTGATCCGGTTTCTGTCCACTGTTCTTAGTGAGACTGTATTTTAAACATATTTCAAGTGGAATACCAATGAGCAAGAGAAAGTGACCACAGATAAGGAAGCTGATAAAATGCTGTGGTGATCACTGACCTTTGGCTTACTCTGTTTACCATCCATGTCGTCGTGGCTCTCCATCTGCCATTTCACCAAAATGTGTCCTTGTTCCCACTGATTCCTCACAAGTTGCCTCATACATTAGGAAAGCAGATTGTTTACTGATCTGCGTTGGTACAAGCATATGCACATGTGCCAAATCTGTCAGATTCAGAATCAGGTGAGGTAGAATTGTTAGAAGATTAAAATGGGTCCCTGTATTGCTCTAGGAAAACTGATATCATGGGTTATGTTGCAACAACCCTCCTGTCTCCCTGTGGTGAGCTTAATGAAAGACTGTGGGTTAGCAGGTCTGACAAGGCTTCTGCACACTCTTTTTCTTCTCACTTTCCATCTCTCCTCACCTTCTTATCTGTCTCTTTCCAGAGGCCATCCACTGTTTAAATCAGGCAGTTGACATCTACACTGACATGGTAAGTTCTGCCTCAACCACTAACTCATCCTGTCATAGTCAGTCTTATTGTGTGTGTGTGTGTGTGTGTGTGTGTGTTGACTACAGGGCCGGTTTACCATCGCAGCCAAACATCACATCACTATAGCGGAGATTTATGAATCGGAGCTGGTCGACATTGAGAAGGTGAGATAAAGTTCTGTCTTTGCTCAGTCTAATATTCTTGAATATCATTTGTTTGCACATGAAATCAGATTTTTAAGACTGAATATAAATTATGATCTTTTGTGCTGACTTATAGGTTTGCATTTTCTGTTTGTTTGTTTGTTTTTAGGCCATTGCCCACTACGAGCAGGCAGCAGATTACTACAAGGGAGAAGAATCTAACAGGTAAATGTGCTGAATTTGCAGGAAAAGATAAACTAACACATCCATAATACATTAATAATTAATTGATTAGTCTGTTGGTAAAATATTAATCTGAATCTATTTTGACTTAAATGCCAAATATTCACATGTATTCTCTGTTTTGCTTTTCCTTTTATTAAAGTGAATGTATTTCGGTTTTGGACAGACAAAAAGCAATGACGTCCCCTTGAAGTGTTTAATTTCATTTATTTAACCAGGAGCTCTCTTGCAATACATGTTCTCTTTTACAGGAGAGCAGCAAAATGTGTGGCAGCAAAATGTGTTACATACAGTATAACATGCAATGTTAATTCACAACAGTCACATGGAGCCCAGCAAACCAGGACATAAGAAACATAAAGTAAAAGCTGGTTATTGAAAACTTTTTTGCAAGCAAGAAAACAGGAAAACAGGAAAATAAGTGCATTTAAAATAGGAAAGAGAACAGGAGAAAAAGGTGACGTTTATCTTGTAGGATGTAGTGTAATCAAGTTCACAACAGACTCTAGGGAAAATGTCCATCCCTGGTCTGGTCGCTGTTACAGAGGTAAACAGGAAATATACCAAGATTACGTCTTAACATAACATATTTTGGGTTTCTTTAAAATGTAAACAGTGCAGCTAATTTGTTATCCAGCCATTTTCTAAGCTCTTTGCACACAGTTTTTTTTTTTACTCTCAGGTTTTACGATTTATTTTGTCTACCTTTTGTAGAAAGTGCACGATTTCTGGAGCAAGTCGTATTATGTCCTATTGAATAGACCAAAAATGTGACGATGAATTAAGAAAATAACTGGCAGATTGATTAATAATGAAAATATCATTAATTGTAGTCCTGTACATGACAAATATAATGTACATTCATGCTTCAAGTATAAATGCATACTTTGTCTGTGCGTACTGAGCACCTTTACTGTGCATTTTGGCAGTGAGTCACACTCAGCCCTGTCACAATATGATGAGGTGGTCACTGGACAGTGCAACTCCTCCTTAATTAAGACACAGCCTGGTGCCGTTTTTAGTTCTGTATAGTCACCATTTTTAGATCATGTGCATGAAAGCTCAACTAAAAAAAGATGACTAATTTACATGCTTTTTTCGTTCGTGTGTGTTTCAGCTCAGCCAATAAATGTCTTCTGAAGGTCGGGCACTACAGCGCCCAGTTGGAGCAGTACCAGAAAGCCATTGAAATCTATGAACAGGTCACAGCTGAACACATGCAATCACTACAGTATCCCTGCAGTAAATATTACAATATCCAGTTACTGTAGCAGCTGCTGAGTCAGAGAGATGTTGATGGAAATGTATGGTCACCATGAGACTGTAGTTTGTGATGTTTATGTATTGGATCCTAGTACTTTGTAAGATGTAATAGCACGGGTTACAGCAGTAATCTTTACAGAATTACAAGGTGGTTCACAGTGTGTGAAGTACAGTTTATAAAATCAATTTATGTAAAAGCATAGAAAGCATGAGGACAACAACAACACAAATTAAACAACCAAACAATGCACACAAAATACAAGTGAAAGCTCATAACAAATTTAAAATACAATAAGGCTTTTAAGATGAAAATACGCTTATAAAAGTGACAGAGCACAGAATGAAAAGGCCATAATTTAGTGTTTCTGCATGTGTGTGTGTGTGTTTCAGGTTGCTATGAGCACCATGGACAATCCTCTGTTGAAGTACAATGCAAAAGAGTATTTCTTCAAGGCTTCACTGTGTCACTTCATAGTGGACGAACTGAATGCCAAAGTAAGAGACACGACCCAGGCAGAACATAAACACATGGAGGCAGACAGCCACTGGCATTTGTTGACTCTCTGTCACATCAGCAGAGTTTGCTAAACACTGGTTGAAAGAATAAAAGGGAACACAAGGTTTTGCTAAGACTGAATTCTACTGTGACCACATCACTGTGTACATGTGTTTCAGTTGGCCATAGAGAAGTATGAGGAGATGTTTCCCGCCTTCACAGACTCCAGAGAGCTCAAACTGTTAAAGGTAAATCTGTTTCTCTTACAGTTTGTTAAGGTAAAAGTGCTCAATTCAAATGTGCAACTCAGAGGCTATTCACTTCATAGGCTATTTTAATTGCATAAATATTCATAAAGAATTTATCATGCCACAAAAAAGATAGTTTGTTTTGTTTGCTACAGTTATGACCAGATTACAAAATGGTTTACAAGGAAAAAAAAAGAAACACAAAACATGCATAGCTGCATACACACATACAGTAAATACATACATGTAGAGAAAAATGACTTATTCTCAATAGGATTTGATGCACGATATGGTATGTATGATTTGATTCAATAAGGATACAATTAAAAATTCAGTGATACTAATGTATGACTAGCTGTGGAACACTTTTCAACCTTTTACCGGTACTGGTTTGATTACGTAAAGAACAACCAGAGATATTGACTTATGTTCCGTTAAGCTACCCTATTTACAAAAAAATATGAAGTCGCTGGTGTATGAAGACCACACAGTATACAAAACAATACATATTGTGACATTTTTGTATCGCAATATATATTGAATTCCGATATATTGTCCCATCCTTACTGAATAAGGCTAGTAAAACAGCTTTCCGTAAATATTTTAATAAGAAATTTAAAAAAGGAAAAATGATTTAAAATCATTTTTAAAAAGTATCTATCCCATTATCATAAATAATTAAGATTTATATGAGTAATAATATAAAATGTCTTTTTAAATGCATGTTTTGAATTAAAATTCCCAGAAAAACATTTGTTTTTTCAGTTACACATCTGCACCTCAAAGCAAAAATATTAAGTATCTAGCTCATTTGCCTCCTCTTAGAACTTCAGTATGTTGTTTTTTTTTTTTTCTTAAAGCTCACATAGTCCTTTGTGTTAGTAAAGTAATCTTTAGGTATTGTTGCAACAGAAACTTCTAGAAGCCCACGAGGAGCAGAACAGTGAGGCGTTCACAGAGGCCATCAAGGACTTCGACTCTGTGTCTCGTCTGGACCAGTGGCTGACCACCATGCTGCTCCGCATCAAAAAGACCATCCAGGGAGATGCTGGGGACCTGAAATAGACACATGTAGAAAAGGGAGTGGGGTGATATAGAGAGAAGAAATGTGAGGGCCAGGGTTGGTGATTAAATGGAGGCAAGCCAGACTGACAGGAAGTGTAAAGATGTGTTTTGGTGGGAAAAAAAGTTTAAAAAAAGATCAACAGAGAATCAGAGAGATGAAATGGGGTTTAAGGGAGACAGGGTTGGACTGAGGGAGCTTACAGTTGTACATATCAGTCTGCATGTGACCCCCAACAAGCTAGGCATCACCTTTAAACCACCTGTAGATGATCCTGTGTCTCCAGTCCTGCAGTATTGCTCTTTTAACACTGGACAGAACTGTACTTAAAAAGAGAGTGGAAAGAAAAGGTGTGTGTGTGTGTGTGTGTGTGCGTGCGTGCGTGCGTGCGCGTCCACTGCAGTAAGGGATATATAACATTTGGTGGGAAAGTGTGCAACTTATATGAGATTTAAAGATATATGTTATTTAAAATGGATAATCATATTTAATGTCAATACTGAAAATATTATTTATGGTACTCGGTGTTATGATTTTTCTTAATAGTTTAGCTATTAGCCCTCTGCACTCCTTTCTTCTCCTCTTCTTCCTCTCATTGTTCTTCCTCCTGTTCCTCTGTCTCACCCCTACACTGTGTCACCAGTATGATATCACCCATTGTGATTGGTTGGTTTCTTGTGTTCAGGCCACTGGTTGGCCAGTGCAGCTAGCCACCAGTGCTAACTCCTGGCACTACCTTGTTTGTGCATGTCTCTTGTCATGTTGATGTAAGTGTTGTGCTAACATGTGAAGAACTTTCATGTAGCCTGGTGTCATTTGTGTGAAATCAGTAAATGTGTACCTCAGATACCGAATTGAAATAAAAACACCACGGCTCCAGATACATGACTGATTGTTGTTGCATTTTTCAGGGAGCAAATCTAGACATGAGGCCAACACTTGAATCTTGTTATAGTTGGTCAACATAGACTACCAGTCAAGAATTTGAACAAATGGGTCCGAACTACTGATAGTACAATACAGTATAAGCTAAAATTGCCCAATAAGTTCTGACATAGTTTGTACAACAATATTAAAGGCACCTTGATGGGGGAGCATTACAATAGTTACATGAACAATATAAAAAATGACCATATGACCTGTATCTTCCTAGAACAGTAGCTGCCCCTGGATATTATTCTTTTAATTGTCTCATCACTGTGCATTCACACATCTGATTTTATGGACCTCAAAATCAAATGGGTGCAAAGTTTTTAGAATTCTTTATTAGTCTGTAAATGTGCAGGTGTAGCACCCTGTATTTGCATAAAAAGCTCAAAAACAATTTTACAGATTTTAATTTGTGCCAGTGTTCTATCAAATTTTGCTACTCGTCGAGACGTGCTACCTACCACTCACAAAGTGGTTAGTTAAGAGTATGGGATGGGGTTGAAGTTCGTAAATCCATAGACTTTACTACTAAGGTAGCACGTCTCGAAAAGGTAGCAACATTTGGCAGAACACCGGTGTAACGTTGCCGTCTGTTCCCCCTTCGAATAGTACCGCCTGAACTCCTCGGTGGTTGGGATTATGGTTAGTATATGGTTGGGATAAGGGTAAGGTTATGTTCATTTTATCAATCGCAGTTTACAAATGGTTGGAGACAGGAATACATTTGGGATCCGGTTGGGGAAAAGGAGTTAAAATCGACGGGGGAAATAATTTCGGCACAATATCAATTGTTACAATGGTACCCACAACACATTTCTGCGAACTGGTTGATTGTGCAACACTGGCTCTACTGTTGTTCCACACTCCGGACCAGAAGGTGGCGATAATGCAGCTTAAGGTGGCTTGCAAACCGGAAATAAGCATCATAAGAAGTAGTAGAAGAAGAAGAAGTTTGTGCAACACGTTTCCGGTGTCGTGCGTGTTTGTAGCTACCTTGCATCGTTCTGTTTGTCGGGGCCTTGTTGTAGTCTAAGTTGTAAACGCCGCTTATCTTAATAACTGGTTAAATTAGTTACAGCGTTTCTACTGAAGGAGGAGAGAGTAACAAGCCGCCAAGATGCCACGAATTATGATAAAAGGAGGCGTCTGGCGCAACACTGAGGTACGTGTTTACATGGCTAACGTTAGCTGCTGTAGCTAACCTAACGACATAAACCTATGAGACTTGGTTAGCATGAAGCTAGCTGCTAACTTTACGGGGGTTTAGCTCGTTTAGCAAGTTTGGTTTATTTGGGTTGCTGCCAACTGTGTGGACAGAATTCAAATGCAAAATAAAGTAGTTTTCACATACACTTAAATAGTAACTTGTTTGGTAAGCAAAAACGGCAACGTCATTACTAAACATTTTTATGGACTACATAGGCTACGTTTTTGCAGATGTTAGCAACTGAGCTAACGTTAGCATTAAATGAGAATCAGTAGGAGTGGGTATGTCAGAATCAGAATATGCTTTATTGACCAGGTGTGTCGGACACACGAGGAATTTGACTCTGGTACATCGGCTCTCAATGTGTATGTACATATCCCCATGCAAGGGGCAAGTAAACAGTAAACCAGCATAAGGCTGTGTAAGATAACAAAAATAATAAGCAACGACCAGTGCAAACAATGCAAAATAAGCAGTATAAACAGGCAGTAAATAATGCAGACAAAGGAATGCTCATTGAAATGAGATAATAGGAATAAAGGAATAAAAATGGAGTACAGTACTTAAAAATACAGACCTGGGCAAGGGGCAAATAAACAGTAAACCAGCAGAAGGCTGTTTGATATAACAAAATAAACAGTGATGAAATATGTCTCATTGTGATAAAGGAAAGTAACTTGCTGATAATCAGTGTTGACTAACGTTAAAGGTCTAAGGTTTACTCCATATAATTTCTATCTGCATAATTCAGTTCAAATTTATCAGAAAGTTGCAACAGTAACACTGTCAGGATCCCAGCTCTCCGTGTTTCAAGTAATTAACACACAGGAAGCCTCAAGCAGCGTATAATCTTTACAACCTAGAAATAAGGATAAGGATAATCACCTTTATTGGCCAAGTATGTTACACACACATTAATTAGTTCCCGGTACAGAACTCAACTGATGGTCTAACCATCGGGGGCAACGGGTAAATACATGTAAAGCTGCAACAAATATTTTCTCTCTCACAAGTTATGACAAATTCTTATTAGATAATTTATTGTTCAGTGATGAATTATGATGTGATAAACCCGTGAAGATCATTGAGATCCAAGTTAGCTGTTAACAGCTGTCAAAAACACAAATATGAAAACTGGGAAACTAGCAAATAAGTGACTCCCATGTGAGAGGCTGGTACCAGTGATTTTCTTTCTTCCTGTCTTTATGGCATGTATGCTTATAAAATGAAATCAGTTAACAAAATTGGTGGCAATTAGGTTTCACGCAAGCATCCATAGTTGTTTCAGCTTGAGAAATCTTGGTTTCTCAACAGAAGCCTGTCAACATTTTATTTATTTGTTTTTACTCACTCTCTTTTCTAATTTGCTCATTTATCCAGGATGAGATCCTTAAGGCAGCAGTGATGAAATATGGCAAAAACCAGTGGTCTCGTATCGCTTCCTTGCTGCACCGCAAGTCTGCCAAACAATGTAAAGCCAGATGGTGAGTCTGGTAAAGAGATGTGAATGTAAAATTCTCATTATGAATTTATAGTGTTCACTTTGGAACCTTGTAAAGGACTCAGTGATTATCTCTGATGTGGTTAGTGTGTATGCCCTTGTGTTTAACCGGCTATGTTTGATGTGTGTCTTATTTCTGTACCAATTTCTGCTGTTCTGTCTCTTGAAAAGTTGGTCTCGATCTCAGTTAGATTACCTGATTAAACAAGGGTCATATATGCTGGCTTTGTCTCTGTCTGTAGGTATGAGTGGTTGGACCCCAGCATCAAGAAAACAGAATGGTCCAGAGAAGAGGAAGAGAAGCTGCTTCATTTGGCCAAACTGATGCCTACTCAGTGGAGGACCATCGCTCCTATCATAGGACGCACTGCGGCCCAGTGTCTGGAGCACTATGAATACCTGCTGTACGGTTTCATATAACCTGACACATCTATACACTACATGTGCAAGAACATCAGCACTTTAATTATAAATTCACCCGACCTTTCATACTGTATATTATATCCAGACACCTGACTTTTGTTGGTAAAATTTTGAATTTATATAAAATCCTAGAAGTAGTTTCTTTTGAGTCTAAGAGATTTACAAATGGTGTTGATTTATAATTTGTGTGTGTGTGTGCGTTCAGAGACAAGGCGGCACAAAGAGACAATGAGGAGGAAGTGGGAGATGACCCGAGGAAGCTAAAACCAGGAGAGATTGATCCAAATCCTGAAACTAAGCCTGCTAGACCTGACCCTGTGGATATGGATGAAGGTTTGTTAAGCTTAATACTGTCATAGACAATAAAGGGGAGAGATAGACCTTTCCCAAAACCTTTGTTTGACCTTTAACCAATCTAAGGGACAAAATGTATCCTGGTTATTAAAATATCTACTTATGTGCACTCACTTTGCTTTTACATTTCTAGTAGTGATTGTTAAAGTTTTTGTTTAGAATGCAGCAAATTGTGCTGCAATCATCCTGTAAAGTTGTATCAGTTTAGTTTTGTGGTTGTAAAACAGCTGTGAAACTGTTTAAACTGTGTCTGTCTGTCTCATTATCTGTAGATGAGTTGGAGATGCTGTCAGAGGCCAGGGCTCGACTGGCCAACACCCAGGGCAAGAAAGCCAAGAGGAAGGCCAGAGAAAAACAGCTGGAGGAAGCCAGGTGAGATGCACACAGACACATTATATTTACAAATACTGTTTTTTGTTTTTTGTTGTTCTTTTTCATGCCTGATGTTTTTAGTTGTACTTCCAGAGGTGGGAAAGCCCACAAGGTGCTCACAAGTATAAAAATAAAAATAAGCATATTTGAGTGTTGCCCACTTTCTGCTGTAGGCGACTGGCTGCTCTGCAGAAGCGCAGGGAGCTGAGAGCCGCAGGAATTGATGTTCAGAAGAAGAGGAAGAAGAAGAGAGGAGTGGACTACAATGCTGAGATCCCCTTTGAAAAGAAACCTGCCCCGGTAGCCACCGTCAATTGTTCTCAGTCAGAGCAGCTGGGCAGGATCTGTGGGCTCAGCTTAATGATAATTAATGATCAGCTTAATGTTGTACTTTGCTATTGCTTATTTATGTATTTTTATTCATTAATTTTTTTGTTTGCTTTCAGGGTTTTTTTGACACCAGCATGGAGCAGTATGATGCTCTGGAGCCAAACTTCAAACGACTCAGACAGCAGCACTTGGATGGGGAGCTACGCAAGTCAGTAACATCACACTTACACTGAACACACAGGAGAGTAGTACACCTCTCTTCACTCATAACCATTAAAAGACACCTTCACTTTAGTACTGTTGCTCTGTATTACACATATACAGGGTGGGCATGACTGAGCAACAATATTTATATGTTGCCTTGTGTTGTGTGTTTGTAGTGAGCGTGAGGAGAAGGAGAGGAAGAGAGATAAACAGAAGATTAAGAAGAAGAAAGAAAGTGATCTGCCGTCTGCCATCCTCCAGACCAGCGGAGTGGCAGAGTTCACCAAGAAACGTTCTAAACTGGTTTTACCTGCACCACAGGTAACCACTACACACAGTGCTGCTTTAACTCTGTCTGATAAATCTGTGTAGGTGCTCCAGACTTGTTTACCTTCAGATATTCTTGAATAGTTTATATTTGTATTAATGCTCTGTTATCATAACACTGTATTTATATATGTTTGATGTAATATTCTTCATAGATCAGTGATGCTGAGTTAGAGGAAGTTGTCAAACTGGGCGTCGCGAGCGAGGTCGCCCGTCAAGCTGCAGAGGAGAGCGAAA